AAAAGTCACACAGAGCACAGCACACTCTCCACCAGTCTCTCTTGAAGCTCCTTGCCTCCGCCTATAGTCACACACACACACACAACACACACACACACACACACAACACTCACCAGTGCATGTGCAGTGCATCCATCTCCTATAGTCCACATAGACCACAGCACACTCACCACCAGTCTCTCTTGAAGCTCTTTCCTCCGCCTATAGTCACACCACACACACACACAACACACCACACACACAGAACACTCACCAGTGCATGTGCAGTGCATCCATCTCCCTATAGTCACACTCATAGAGCACACTCACCACCAGTCTCTCTTCAAGCTCCTTGCCTCCGCCTATAGTCACGAGTGCCAGCTCAGGAGAAAAGCCCTCCACGTGTGATGCCTCTTTTTCGATAAAAGAATACGGGATGAACTGAAGGGGTGGGGAGAAGGGCAGGGAAGAGAGGGGGGGGGGGAGGGAGTGGAAGAGCGGGTGTAAATGTTGGAAGGGGTTATGGAAGGTTTTACACAGACAGCCTGTATATGACAAATTCGTGCAAATACCATATAGTTCAATAGCATTCTTGCAAATAGCGTAACGTTCAATACGAGGGGCGTAATCTCAACAAGCAGGGGAAAAGGGCGGAGGGACGGAGGAGATGGGGGATGGAGGGGAGGAGGGGGGAGATTTCAAAAGGTCGAGAATTTCAATGGGATTTCACTCACCTGTGAAAAGTACATGTTCTCGTGGCCGTCTCCTTCAACTTGCACAAGGCATTCATATCACCCCACCCCACCATCCCCGCTCTCTTTCCCAACCCCCCCCCTCTCTTCTTCCGCCCCTCCCTCCCTCCCTCCCTCACCTGTGGGAAGTACATGTTCTCGTGCCCCGTCTCCTTGAACTTGCACGCATTGCATTTCAATCAAACCCACCATTCTCCCCCGTTCCCCCCCTCATGCTCCCCCGTTCAGCGTCCTCCCGCCCCTCCCTCCCTCACCTGTGGGAAGTACATGTTCTCGCGCCCCGTCTCCTTGAACTTGCACGCATTGCATTCATATCAAACCCACCATTCTCCCCCGTTCCCACCCCTCATGCTCCCCCGTTCAGCGTCCTCCGCGCCCTCCCTCCCTCACCTGTGGGAAGTACATGTTCTCGTGCCCCGTCTCCTTGAACTTGCACGCATTGCATTCATATCAAACCCACCATTCTCCCCCGTTCCCCCCCTCATGCTCTCCCCGTTCAGCGTCCTCCGCCCTCCCTCCCTCACCTGTGGGAAGTACATGTTCTCGTGCCCCGTCTCCTTGACTTGCACGCATTGCATTCATATCAAACCCACCATTCTCCCCCGTTCCCCCCCTCATGCTCCCCCGTTCAGCGTCCTCCGCCCCTCCCTCCCTCACCTGTGGGAAGTACATGTTCTCGTGCCCCGTCTCCTTGAACTTGCGGTCCAGCCATGACTGGCAGGGTTTCGGGGTTAGCCGGGGGTTTTCGGGGACAGGAGGAGGACAAGAGTGGTTTGCGGGACGGATTAAGGGGAGAGAAGAAGGAGTTGGAGGGGACATGATTCTGGGAGTGAGGAGGGTTGGGTGTAAACAGAGTTGTTTTGAGACGTCTCAAAACAACTCTGTTTACACGGATTAAAGGGAGACAAGAAGGGGTTGGAGGGACCATGATTCTGGGGAAGTGGGGAGGCTTGGGGCGGATCAGGAGGGAGGGTTTGAAGGAAAATTTCGGAACATTCGAAGATAGATGCATTCATATTCGCACATGCATGCATACACTTGAGGTTTTGAAACGTCTCGAAACACGAATGCGCGCACACACATCCATGAACGCACATGAATGGGCCTGTGAGAAATCATTGAAATTTCTCAAAAATCGTACCTGCGGCGGAGCACCAGCCACAATGTATGAAAACGCATGCGCAACGATTCGTGTTTCGAGACGTTTCAAAGAGAAAATTCAGTGACCGCACATGCATAGCCTCTGCACTGCCTCAACCTATGTGCCCCACCTAAGCCTGCCCCATCCAAGCCTTCCCCACCCATGCCTGCCCCACCCAAGCCTGCCGCACCTAAGCCCGCCCCACCTAAGACTGCCGCCCAAGCCTGCCCCACCTGAATCGCCCTCCCAGATCGCGTAGCAATACGGGCGGATCACCATCGTGCCGCGCACCGGCCCACAGTCCGCCAGCCAGGTGGATGCTCTAAACCCTACTCTAACGCACGTTCCAAATTCCACCCAAGCCTGCCCCACCTGAATCGCCTCCCAGATCGCGTAGCCGTACGGGCGAATCACCATCGTGCCGCGCACCGGCCCATAATCCGCCAGCTCAGCCTCGCGAATCACGTCCAGATTACCACCGACTGAAATTCTCCGACCGCGACGCGATTTTCGACGCTTCCGCGGATCCCGCGCCGCCTTTCCCGCCGGCTTTCCCCTGGCCTCCCCCGCCTCCTCCCTCTTTCTTCCCCGCCTTGCCTTCTTGGCGGAAGCTTCCGGTTCCGCTGCGCTTCCCGCGAGTTCCTTCCGCGGTCCGCGTTTCCACCGTGGGATCGGCGGATTCGCAGCGGATCGCGGGGGAGGAGGGGGAGGCGGGATTGGCGGACGACCCCGGCGGAAGCGAACCGGCTCCGCCACGCTGGGGGGAGTAGAATCGATGGTGACGTGGCACTTAACGATTGGAGGAAGCCTCCAGCGACAGCGGAAGTGGAGGCGGAGAGAGAGGGGGAGCGGAGGAGCATTGGGCGGACAATGGGCGCGCGGAGACACGACGCCATTGTAATTAATAGAGGCGGATAATTACTTAAACATGTTCGCGTCGTCTGGAGAAACTAAATGCCTCTTTCCTGGCTGGTGATAAAGAATCGAATGCGGGATATACGGAAAGGAATGCAACTACGATAACAAAGAAGCATGCGCGCGACGAGAAACGACGCAGGTCAACTACTGTATGACTTCGCCTTGTCACTTTCCGCAGAGTAAGGCGGGCTGTCGGTCGCTCGGAGAATAGACGCCTGGTGCGCTTCGAGCTCCAGAGATTAAAGAACACTGATGAACAGTGCACAGAAGCCTGCTGATGGCTCGTTCGCCAATCATTGGCTTGGGATCGCCAGACTGGACTTGAGGTAACACTTGGCAAGTGAAGTGGTGAGTGTGATCGGTAGTATGAGGAGATTGTGGATTACGCTACGCCACGTCATTACTGGATGGGATTCGATAGAAGTCAGCTCCCACATTCGCATGTATGCAAGTCTCAACACCATCATCGTAATCAATGTAATTTTTACCGAACACAATATCAGCTAACTTGACTTGCCCTTACAAATGACAGATATTGTCACCGAATTCTTCCCTTCCAGCACTCAAACTCAGAGCCCCATGTCAGTGGGCGAGGCCTTTTTTGCTTCCCCATTTGCTGAATTTATTTGTACTCTCATCCTCACTAACATTAATTAAAGTTCTCTAAATTTACATATAACTACGACAAGGGCAAGAGCATGTACCCCTGTCGTGAAATAGCAGCGGCATACGTGCCGGTATTTTCGGAAACGTACATGACACAACCACGAATGGCAAGCACGTGCTCTCTTGGTAATTTGCCAATTTGATCTCTACAATGGTGGGTCTTCACATGCACACTTCGCGATTGGACAATAATCGAGCGATCTTGACGAGTCCTTCGATCAAGATTTGGTCCCGCTGATGTGGAGTCTTTACTTGGTGACACGAGCATGAGAAACCGAGACGTTTGTGAATTTCGTCGTGGTTCCTAGCTCCGCTTACCACCGCTGTGCTGTATCGAAAGTGCACGAATTTTACCGTTCATGTCGTGCATGTACAAAGACGAAGTGACCCATCGCATGTGCAAGAAGTGTTGTCAGTCCCTTTGGGTATCCAAATCGACAACACATCTGTCCAAAACAAAGCGATGGCTTGCCTAAACATACGGCATTCAAATCAATGTGCCTACTGGTGTTTCCCACACCCGTGCCTTTGCTACCCTGCAGCATTCTACTTTAACGGGCAACAAGAAAAACAATCGAAGCCTGTGTTTCCACATTATTGAGATTCAACCCAGAATGCGCGCTTCGGTTCCCCCAATCCGTCACGACCTGCTTTCAATGCCAACGAGCCGCTCTTCCCCCCCTCAGTGCTGCTCTAGCTGGTGCCCACAATTTTGGCTAGCACAACCAACTGCTCTGTCAAACGCACGTCTGGGTCCATTGCTGACAATTGCGTTCCATTCCATCTCCCAAATCTCGGACACTTGAAGGGGCCGAGGTTTAGTGGACGGTGCTGCAAAAGCAATGCCCGCAACCACTCCCACAACTAGCTCGTGTAGTCAGAAACACAGACGGTACCAAATCTCGTCAACGCATCAGCTCCGTCGGTGCTGTGGTTGACCCACACCACAATGCCCAAAAAGATGCTCGCGACATTCACCAACCAACCTCTTCACCTGTGTCCTGACCACCATCCACATGCAAATGGGATGAGAAGGCAGTCAGCAACTGATGCACAATCACGAGCTTTCTGCTTCAAATTGACCAATGGAAGGGTCAAGGCTCTCTCACTTATCCACTCCACTGCACACACACGCACGCGAGGACATCCGCGCGCATCGCGCCCTAGGCACGCGAACGACTTCAAATGTATAAATACAAAATCTTCCTCGGGCACGCCGCCTGGAGGGCATCCGCCTGGAGGGCATCCGCCTGGAGGGTGAGCTACCGATAGCCACTGAGGTAGGAGTCGAGGCGAGGACTCCTTGAAAGGGACACACAGAGGTGTGGTGCAGTACAGTACAGTAATTCACACAGTACAAGGGGGCACACACAGTATTTACACCCTGTTTTTCGCTATTGTGGATTCCGGTATACTGTATTCGCCGTTACTAGAAACTCACCCGTACAGAAGCACGCTATCACCCGCGTCATAGTGAACTTTTAACCAGCCCGATCCAGTGTGATGGGTTACGTTTTAGAAAGGTTCCTGGACAATTTAGAAAGGCTGGCTAGGGTATCTAGGCAAAATGCATTCTGGAACTTCCCCTCATTCTGCTAGGGACAATTGACTGGTTTCGGTATCAGCAAAATTCCGAATACTGCCAAGAAACAGTAGCGTTCTTACGCGGTTCATAGTAGCGAAAAACATGGTGTACACGAATACGTACAAGTATGACAGCCTCACAACCTTCTGTAGAGGCAAACCAGGTTCTGTTAGCAACATCGCTCCGCACTAGGGATCAACAGTTCCTTCAGAGGAGCTCCATGCTCCACAATTCTAGTGACTAGTTCCGCAATTCGATGTGTTCCGGTTCAGTCCGGGAGTGTGACTGACTGGGCTTTCGGATCCAACCAACCTCCGCGCTCCGAACGATTTCGGAAATCCGGGATGCGACGCTGACCAGACCCCGACTTCTTTGGTCTGGCAGACCAGAGCTGCATATCACTCACTCGGCCCCAAACAGACCCCCAACAAGAGCATGGCATAGTAGATAAACAGCCGACGGATCATCGAGAATCAGAATATGCCGCTGCTCGCTGTTCACGTACCTCAGTTGTAGTAATAGTACCACGATTTGTGCAGTGAACGTGCGTCGCGCCGTTTCCTCTCGCTTTGTACATCTGATCTCGAGTCGAGATCCTGACTTAGGACGTGCCGAACGATTAGTAGTAGCAGTGGTAGAACTTTCTATCTGTCGCCGCAACCGTCGCTCGATGTACAGATGATTACGTGACAATTTGCAGTTGTTGCATCAGTAGTGACTGCCAGTCAATTTGCAGCGGCAATCCCCGGATTTCTTGAAAGGAACTCAAGCGGACTTTTCGAAGAAGCGGCTACGGCTCGCAAGGCGGCAAGACGACGAGATTTGACTGTGAATTGAATCTTCAATTACACGCTGAACTAAGTTGACACTGGCCGCAGTGCGGCGAAAGGAAGGTCGCGGAATGGACGGTGGCATGCGCGGCGACTCGGAGGGAGGAGTGGGCGACGATATGGCCGACGAGGTGAGCGACAATGGACAGGGCGATGCAGCGGGCGACAGAACTGGCGACACGGGCGACGAGTTCGGCGACGCGACGCCAACAGTGTTGCTCCAGAGTCAGAATAGTCAACAAAGTCCGAAGATCAACATGCTATCGCATTCCCCACTACTAGTAATACTCAACGACAGGACTGACGGCACAGGCGACTCGGTGAACCCGGACGCGCCGCGTCCAACCCCAGCGAGAGCGACAGCAGCAGGGGTTGCAGCAGCGGTAGGGGCGGCGGAGGCAGCGGCGGCGGCGGCGGCATTCATGGTGCCGCCGTTGTTCCGCGCCCCGCCGCCATCTGGAGCCGCGAAAATTGCCTCCGCGGCGGCCGACATCGCGGGGGCTGCGGGGACGGTGTTTGCTCCTCCGGATTCCGCGTACAAGCGCCAAGTAGGAATCTTCATCGAAGGCGGGTCTCCCCGGGGGCGCAGCAGGAGGAAGCGCGGGCCTCTGGCCACCGCCGGCGGCGGAGGCGGCGGAGGGAGCGCAGGCAGCGCAGGTGCTGCTGCTACAGCCGCTGCTGCTGCTACAGCTGGCGTTGCTGGTACTGCCGCTGCTGCTACTACTCCCCGGGGCCGCGGGAAAGCACGGAGGGATGGCTCAGCAGCAGCAGCTGTAGCAGCATCCCGGGAGTTTGAGGATTCGCGCAACAAGATCATGCCGGCTTCTGCTGATGGTACTGCCGCCACTGTTGCTACCACTCCCCGGGGGCGTGGGAAAGCAAAGAGGGACGGCTCAGCAGCAACAGCAGCATCCCGGGAGTTTGACGACTCGTGCAACAAAATGCTTGCTGCCGCCATCGCCCGCAACCTCCGCGCCCGGCTCGCATCATCCAGCAACAGCCTCAGCTGCAGCCGTGTCAGCACCACCAGCTGGAGCAGCCGACTCGTATCACCACCAGCAGCACAAGGTCTCCGAAACAGCTTCAGGCGCAGCACGTTACAGACGAGAGTGCACCCTCACCCAGGCACGTTTCATCTGCTCGGATGATGGAAGCTCGGGGGCAGTCATTCAGCACGTCGCCCTCAGAAGCTTCCGGAAACTGGGCTCCTATGGATGTCACTCCAGGACCCGAACCTCAAGACGGTACGGTATTTCTAATTGCTTCAGGATCCCAGATTGGCAGTGGCTATGGTGGTGTTGGTGGTGGTGTTGGTGGTGGCGGTGGTGGTGGCGGTGGTGGTGGCGGTGGTGGTGGTGGCGGTGGTGGTGGCGGTGGTGGTGGCGGTGGTGGCGGTGGTGCTGGTGACGATGTGACTGGTAATGATGATGCTGGTAACGCGGACGATGCCACTAGCAGTGCTCCAATGGATCTGTCCAGCCGATTTGGAGGTGATTCTAACGAGGGCTACTTGCTGAAACCTGGCGCGGTGGCCAAGTCCCGAAGCCTCTCCATTCCACTCCAGCACGACCTCTCTCTCGGGCTGAATCGGCCGGTCGGGTTCGGGTCCCTCTCGTGGCCACGATCTGCCTCAGCTGCTGCTGCTCCAGCAGCCTATGCCAGCGCTGCCGCTACTGCTGCTGCTGGTGGTGGTGGTGGCAATGCTGCTGGTGGCAATGCTGCTGGTGGCAATGCTGCTGGTGGCAATGCTGCTGATAATTATTCTGTTGATGGGAAGCATGTCATGGGTGCCCCTGCTTCTCTCCTCGGGACCACCACTGTAGTCGGCTGGCCCGGCCCTGCTTCGTCTGTTGCTGTTGGTGACTGGCCAGCCTCACAAGCTGGTGCATCTGCTGCTGCGGCTAATCTCACAGGTGTTTTTGAGAGTTTAAAAAAAACCATCCTCGCAGGGCGGTGTGTCTGCTGCTGTGGCTGACCTGACAGGTGTGGTGCACAGACTGCCATCAAGTGAGCAAATTCCATTGTCATCCTTTCAAACCTCTCAAGCTACTCAGGCCTCTCGTGCCACTCAGGTCTCTCAGACCTCTCAGACCTCTCAGGCCTTTCAGGCCTCTCAAGCCCCGCACGCGCACCTGAAAGGCTCTGGCACTATCCCTCCGGCCATGCACGCTCCAGGCGTGCACGCGCCAGCCATCGACGCTCTCGGCATGCACCCTCCACGCTTCCACGCTCCTTCCCCTCCTCTCACCCCTGCTGCGCCGCCTCCCTCCGCTACCAACACTGCATCCTCATTCTCCGATCCCACAGCCATTCTCCACTCCTCCTCTCTCTCGCCTCCCATTCCCGTCATGGTCCATGCTGCCACTGTAGCATCCTTGGTAGACCCCTCCTTCCCTATCCTCAAGCAACAACATCTCTGGCAGAGTTCCCTGCTGCTTGCACAAGGGCTAGATCAGGCCGGCGGAAGCAGCAGCGGGGCCGCTGGGGATGCTCGGCTGTTGCAGGCTACTCTGGGGTCTTGCGAACAGAAGCAACCACAGGAGGAGACAGCAGCATCGGCATCGGCAGCGGCTTTTTTCGGCAGAGCTTATGCGAACCACAAGAGGACTTTCGTCATTGAATACGCATGTGCCTGCCCGGCCAGGGACACTGCATGCTGCAGGTCCGGCAGCAGACTCGGCGATGTTTGCAGGAGGTTCGGTAGGGGAGGATACAGGTCCGGCCAGACCTATGGCTCGTCCGGCGGCACCTTCGACAGGCATGGTGGGGGGCGTCCATGCAAGAGGTGTTATGATTGTGGCACGGAGTGCATGGGCACAAGATCTAATTTCGAGGCATCTAAAGGACAACCTACATGAAGGGAGTGACGTGACAATCCTTCAGCAGCGGATTGCATATTCGGGGTTTCATCATCATGAAACACAAACACTAGCGCCTCAAGTTACGGTGGTACAACAAGAGCCGATCATACAGCTGTCTTCCCCGACTGTGGATATGGAGAGGGATGGGAATATGGATGACGACAGCAGACTTACGGGAGGAGTACAGGTGACGCGGGTCCACTCAATAGGCCGCCATGAACACACGACTCATGGCATAAACGCATCTGTACATAACCGCACTATATATGATGCTGAAGGAAATGAAACAGAGAATAAACGGAGTGAAGATAAAGGAGTGTTCCTTTTTGGGAAGCGTGTAATATAGCTCACCAAACCTGCACAGTGCTTGTGTTTTTGTTTATCTTGTATATCCAACTTTACAATTTATTGATTCGTTCGAACTTTGTGTCACTGTACAATACCTAGGTTGCTTCCTGACGAAGCTCTCAGAGGTGGCTCTGGGAATTGCCAGATTTTTTCAAGGCTTGTCCGACGGGCAGCCTTGGAACTGTCATTTCGGCTACCCTGAAACGGTCAAATTTGCGAACCCCGCCGCGGCGTGTCAACCATCTCGTTTCAACTTTCACCACCACCACCCTCGATTACGATTTTCCTTCCTTTCCCTTGCTTGTCCTTCTCATATGTCCCTCTCGTCCGCTTCTCTGTTCTGCCTGATTGGTTCTTCCTCCGCCTCCATTCTCAAGGCTCTCAGAGGCCATTCGTGGCCTCATTTTGGGGATAGGTCGCTTGCGACAACCATTATTTTCGTCTTGCAACGTCTTTGTCGTCAGGCGACGTTTTCCGATCGTTAAACGGTGGAGTGATCGACCCAGCACAGGATCGCAGAAGATATTTAATTCAATCATGGCGACAGCTGCAGAAAACGGCCACGAAACCGCCGCGAGCGTTGCCGCGAATACCGCTGCTGAGAAGTCAGTGACCCCTACAGAAACCCTTCAAGGGGTTCCGCCGTCCGTTTTGACCTCGTCAAAACGATCCGTCGTGCTCGTGCTCGATTTCGGATCGCAGTACACGCAGCTAATCACGCGCCGCATTCGCGAGCTCGGAGTCTACTCCGTCAGCCTGCCGGCCGGCGTGCCGCTAGATCAGATCCAGGCCGTCCATCCGACGATCATCGTTCTCTCCGGCGGGCCGAACTCCGTGCACGAGGAAGGTTCGCCGACGGTTCCCGCGGGTTTTTTCGACTATGCGATAGAGAAGGGTATTACGGTTCTCGGGATCTGCTATGGCATGCAGCTGATCGTGAAGACATTGGGTGGTGACGTGGCACGAGCCGAGGCGCAGGAGTACGGACGGATGGATATCGTGGCGGATTGCGATTCGGCGCTCTTTGGCGGGAGCGACGCGGGAGGCGAGGAACCTGAGAAGAAGAAGGCGAAGAATGAATCGCGACAGGTAACGGGTTACCACCGCTACGTGCGACAGGCATGCGGCTACCATCACAGAATGCCATTGCAACTCTTCTCGCTATAAACATTTGTTTTCGCCAGACCGATGGAACAAGCCACGTAAAACAAGGGGTTTACGAAGGTCATCCAAGGGTCTTGCGAACGCTAACCAAGGGGGTTTACGAACGTTACCCAAGGGTTTACCCTGGTCATCCTGTTACAATCACCCGTCTCGTTTCAGCATCCTGTCTCGTTATAAACCCCTGTTCCCATCAGACCGTGTGGATGAGCCACGGCGACGAGGCGACGAAGCTTCCAGAGGGGTTCAGAGTGGTGGCGCGCAGCGATCAGGGCACGGTGGTGGCAATTGAGTGCACGACACGCAAGATATTCGGCCTGCAATACCACCCTGAGGTGGGTGAGTGGGAAGAAAGTAGGAAAAAATCCGGCAAAAAGGGGGTTTGAAGGGAGAGTGAGGGAGAGGGCATGAGTGCACGACACGCAAGATATTCGGCCTGCAATATCACCCTGAGGTGTGTGAAGGGAGAGGGGGTGGGGGGAGGTGCAAGAGGTGAGGGGCGAAGGGCGAGGGGCAAAGGGCGAGGGGAGAGAGGGTGAAATTCCATGAGGGTATTGCACACATGTTCATTTCAGCTGTTTGGGAAGTTAGTCTTTCTTTTTCAGGGATCATGCACGCTGATTGCCCAACGCAGGAGATGCTAGATGGGGGAATTTTGTGGTTTCACCCGCTTTCATGTAAGCGTGTCCCATTCTTTCACCCGTTCCCCGTCTACTCCTTGGCTTTGTTCCCTCCGACAGGTGACCCACACCCCCAGGGGCATGGAGACGCTTCGCCGCGTAGTCTTTGACATTGGAGGCGCGCACGCTGATTGGCAGATGCAGGAGGTGCTAGATGAGGCGATCTCAGCCGTCCAAGCGGCAGTGGGCCCAGTGAAGCATGCGGTGTGCGCGCTGTCGGGCGGCGTTGACTCGACTGTAGCGGCGACGCTGGTGCACCGCGCGATTGGGGACCGCCTGCACTGCATTTTCGTGGATAACGGACTGCTGCGGTGAGTGTAGAGGGGTTTCACAGGGTTTAGCGGGGGTTAGTGCGGTTTGTAGTGGTAAGGTAAGGGAGAGGGGAAGGGGTGTTGACCCGACTGTAGCGGCCACGCTGGTGCACCGGGCGATTGGAGACCGCCTGCACTGCATCTTTGTTGACAATGGGCTGCTGCGGTACGTGGTACATGGGGAGGGAATCAGGAGGGATTCGGCTTGGTTTAGTGCGGTTCTGTAGTGTTGGTGAGGGGAAGGCACGGGGTCACTGTCTGGACTGTAGCGGCCACGCTGGTGCACCGGGCGATTGGGGACAGCCTGCACTGCATCTTTGTGTACAACGGACTGTTGCTGTGAGTTTTTGTAGGGTTGAGTGCGGCTTAATGTGGTTTTCAAGTGGTGGCTTAGTGAAAGATAAGGGTGTTGCATTGTCTGTAGCGGCCACGCTGGTGCACCAGGCGATTGGAGACCTACGGCACTGCATTTTCGTGGACAATGGGCTGTTGCAGTGAGTGTGGATGGTTTAAGCAGGGTTTTTTTAAGCTGGGACGGAGTTTGGGGTTTGAGAGTTCAGGGATGGGGCCTGAGAACGGGCCTAGGATTCTTCAGGGTTCAGGGCGAGAATCTTTGTGGATAAAGGGTTGATGCGGTGAGTTTTTGAGAGCGGTTTAGTGGGGATTTAGCTGGGTTAGGACTGCATCGGTGTGGATAATGGGCTGCTGCGGTGAGGTTGTTGGAGGGTTTTGGTGGGTTTAATGCGGTTGTGTAACGATGGGGTTTTGCACACCTCAGTTTGATGAGAAGCAGCGGGTGATGGCAATGTGGGAAGCAGATCTGCACCCTGTCAGACTCCCCCTGCCTCCTTTGCGCTCACCCCTGCCCCTCCCTCACGCCAACACCCCCCAACCCACACCCATACTTCCCCTTCCGCTGCCTCCGTTTTCCCCCTTCCCCCTCCGCCCACACTGCAGGTTCCAGGAGCAGCAGCGGGTGATGGCTATGATTGAGGCGGACCTGCACCTGCCAGTCACTCCCTGCTTCCTTAGTTGTCACCCCTGCCCGTTCCCAACCCCACCACCCACCCCCCCACCCACGCCCCTCCTCTCCCCATCCCTCTCTCCCCCACCCCGCACTGCAGGTTCCAGGAGCAGCAGCGCGTGATGGCGATGTTTGAGGCGGACCTGCACCTGCCAGTCACCTGTGTGGATGCATCTGACCGCTTCCTCTCCAAGCTCAGGGGCGTCACAGATCCCGAGAAAAAGAGGCGCATCATCGGGGCGGAGTTCATTGGCGTTTTTGATGATTTTGCGAGTGAACTGGAGGCGAAGCTGGGGCACCGACCAGAGTGCCTAGTGCAAGGTGGGTGGACCACATTTGAGCTTTGTCGGGTTTGCAGCAAGACGGAGAGAGGGAGGGAGAGGAAGAGGCGCAACAATGGGGCGGAGTTCATTGGAGTATTTGACGACTTTGCCAGTGAACTGGAGGCGAAGTTGGGGCACCGGCCCGAGTGCCTGGTGCAAGGTGGGTTAGCTGCTGGCTCAGGATGGTGTGATTCGCTTGGGTTGAAGCAAGGGGAGAGACAAGGAGGGGACGTGGCGCTTGTTCTCCTCTTCAAGCTCAGGGGCGTCATGGATCCCAAGAGGAGGGAGGGAGGCGCATCATCGGGGCGGAGTTCGTTGGAGTGTTTGACGATTTCGTCACACTTACACTGTTTTTCGAGTGTGATCGGGTTTTTCAAAGTGACCTGTTCGAACCTGTTCCAGGTACACTGTATCCGGACGCAATTGAGTCATTCATGTTTGCCAGATTCATGTCATTCAAAGTACCTCCAGATTCAGCTCTGATTGTTGAATCTCTACAAGTTCGATACTTGTTTTTTTCTTCTTTGTATTATTGTTTCGAATAACCTAAACCACACTAACGGATATATGGGCTTCGGTTCTGGTTGGAAGCTCTGGGCCGAACGCGTCTGTAGGCTTGCTTCGGATGTTTTGTTTGGGGCGTCTTGGGCTGAGGCTTGGGCTTGCCAGGTACACTGTATCCGGACATGATTGAGTCGTTTCAAGTAGCTAACCCTCCCCCTACCCCCCCCTCTCCCCCGCCCCCAACCCTAGTGCAGGTACACTTTATCCGGACGTGATTGAGTCGTGCCCGCCGCCTGGCAGTGGGAAGAAGCACTCGCACACCATTAAGAGCCACCACAACGTGGGTGGTTTACCCGAGAATATGCGCTTTACCCTCGTGGAGCCCCTCAAATGGCTGTTCAAGGACGAGGTGAGAGAGGGGGAAGAGGGACAGAGGGATGGGGTGGTTTACCCTAGAATATGTGGTTTATCCTTGTGGAGCCCCGCAAATGGCTGTTCAAGGTCGAGGTGAAGGAGAGGAGGAGAGCAAAAAGGGGGGCGGGAGGGGAGGAGTGGAGTGGGTGGTGACGCAGGGGTGTGGGGTGCTTTGGGGAGAATGGGAAAGGAGGGGGGTTTGGGGAGGGAAAAGGAGTGGGCTGAGAGGAAAGAGTGATGGGGATGGGGAGCAACGCCAGGGAGAAAGGGAGGGGGCTGGAATGGGCTGGCTGGATCAAGTGTCAATACTTGGAACAGCTGCAGGTGGGTTGAGCTTTTACTACTTCAGTAACCGTCACCTGCTCTCACCTTCCCCTTTCCTCCCCCACTCACCCATCTCCGCTTCCATCTCTTCCCTCCTCTTCCTGTTCGCCCCCCTCCCAGGTGCGCAAGATTGGAGCTCTCCTCAACGTCCCCGCCTCCTTCCTCTCCCTCCCCTCGTTTCCCCCCTCCTCGTCTCCCTGCTTTCCTCACTTCCTCCTCTCCCCCCTCCCTCCCCTCCTCCCTCTCCCCCTTCGCCCCCTCCCAGGTTCGCAAGATAGGAGCTCTCCTCAACGTCCCTGCCTCCTTCCTCTCCCGCCATCCCTTCCCTCTCCTCCCCCAGATTCCAGAATACAAGAAAATGACTCTCTTTCGCCTCGTCTCTTTCTCTCCCGACTTCTCCCCCCCTCTCGGCCCCTCCCAGGTGCGCAAGATTGGAGCTCTCCTCAACGTCCCCGCCTCCTTCCTCTACCTCCCCACGTTTTCCCCCTCCTCTTCTCCCTGCTTTCCTCACTTCCTCCTCCTCTCCCTCCTCCCTCCCTTCTTCCCTCTCTCCCCCTCACGCCCCCCTCCCAGGTGCGCAAGATAGGAGCTCTCCTCAACGTCCCTGCCTCCTTCCTCTCCCGCCATCCCTTCCCTCTTCTCCCCCAGATTCCATTATACAAGCAAATGACTCTCTTTCGCCTCTTCTCTTTCTCTCCCGACTTCTCCCCCTCTCGCCCCCTCTCAGGTGCGCAATATTGGAGCTCTCCTCAACGTCCCCCGCTTCCTTCCTCTCCCGCCATCCCTTCCCCGGACCTGGCCTTGCGGTTCGGGTGCTGGGGGACGTGTGTGCCGATGGGGCGCTCGACACTATTCGCCAGGTACGGGCTGGGCTCTGCTGCAGTTTACCTGATTGGGTTGCATCTGCTCTGGTGCATTCAACCTTGCAGTTCGGGTGCTGGGGGAAGTGTGTGCAGATGGGGCACTCGACACCATTCGCCAGGTAACGGCTGCTCGCCAGGTACGGACTGCTCAGCTATTTTGCAGGTATAAAACACATAGCATCGTATAGCACCTCTGCTCAGGTGCTTTCAATTTTGCGGTTCGGGTGGTGGGGGACGTGTGTGCAGAGGGGGCGCTGGACACCATTTGCCTGGTACGCATGACCCTAGTAGTTGGCTGTTCTGCAAATGATATAAACACGTAGCATCATGTGGCACCTTTGTCCACGTGGGATCTGGCCTTGCGATTCGGGTGCTGGGGACGTGTGTGCGGACGGGGTTGCGGACGGGCCTTGCCATTCGCCAGGTACGCATGACCCCAGTAGTTGGCTGTTCAACAGTACGCCAGGTACAGATCACGTCGCGGCAAATGGCACCTGTGCTCACGGTTCGGATGCTGGAGGACATGCTGAAGCAGATGAATGGGGTGGACTTTAAAGCCCTCACACATGTTATCAACAGGCGCTCAGGCGTGATAAGCGCGGGCAAGTTTGCTCGCCCTTTGTAGCTCGTCATGCGCTTATCACGCCTGGATGCCAGTCGATAACATGTGCAAGGGCTCGAAAGTCCATCCCATTCATCTGTTTCAGCATGAGCCAGAAATTTTCGCGCAAGTATGGTTCAAAGGCCCCATTAGACATCCAATCCACGAACCGGAAGAGATGGTCTGTAAAGAGCTCATGTGATAAAAGTGTATTTTCGAGACGTCTCAAAGAGTCTCTCTTGGCCCGCCAGTGCAGCTGCCAAAAGGGACTCCTTGCCCATGCGATTCAGTGTTTTCAAAACGCACACCAAAGAGACGCACTCAGTGCCCCCCTCATGCCTGTTCTTCTACTGCCACATCTCCATCTCTCACCCCTCTCGTCTGCTCGTCCCGCTGCTCCCCTCGTCCCGCTTGCCCTTCCCTCATCTTTCTCCTCGTCCAGGCCTGTACGACCAGATCTGGCAGGCGTTCATTCTTCCCCCGTCTTTCCTCCCTGCTCCCCATGTTCCCCTGGTTCTGTTCCCCTGGCCCATTCTGAGCATCAGGTGGATGAGATTTTCATCAATTCAATCAAGGAGGCTGGGCTGTACGACCAGATCTGGCAGGCGTTTGCCGTCTTCTTGCCGGTGCGGTCGGTGGGAGTGCAGGGCGATAGGCGCACCCACTCCCACGTGGTGGCTCTCAGGGCGATCACCAGCCAAGACGGCATGACAGCAGACTGGTGAGTGGCCTATAAGTGAGTCGGTTACTCATGGGTTCGGGCAGTGGCAGTGCAGGGGAAACGGTATACTCACTCCCACGTGGTGGCTCTCAGGGCGATTACCAGCCAAGACGGCATGACGGCTGATTGGTGAGTGGGATGTGGCGAGGATGGGTGGGATGGGCTGGGGTGGGGTGGGGTGGGGTGCCTGGACCTTTTGTTTGTGAGTGAGGTGGGATTGGGCGTGGTTGGGGATGTTCAGAAGGACTTGTTGGTTTGATTGTTACACGTGCATATGGGTGCAATGGCCATGTGTGGTTTGGCAGTTGTGAAATATTTGGATTAAAATGCAAACAACTGTAGACAGTTGAACAGTGTTGAGCACACAACACTCAGCTCCCTGTGCGTGGCACTAAGCGCGATAAGATATATTCCCTTCCTATTTTCCCCTTCAACACCCACCCTCAGTATTCACAACTCTCTTCTCTTCCCCGTTCTCTTCCTCCCTCACCCACCCTCTCGATCACCCGCTCTTCTTGTCTTCTGCTCACCCAGGTTTGAATTTGATACCAAGTTCCTCCGTGAAGTATCAGCTCGCATTTGCAACAGTGTCAGTGGTGTGAACAGGGTAGTGTACGATATTACATCTAAGCCACCAGCTACTGTTGAATGGGAATAGTTGCAATAACTAAGGACAACGTTAGGGGCACTAATCTAGATGTACGCTACATGCTCGGAAATGGGTTCTTTCTATGAAGATTTTTTGTGCCTTGTTGTAAGGAAAATTCCTTTTCCTTACTTAGCATCCCTACTCAGCGCGTACACCACTGTTCTTCAAACAGCACCCCACAATAATCCGTTACCACTCGCGACATTCGCCTCGACACATTCCCGCCATTGTTCACGATGCGACCCAACCTCACGGTTCGGTTGGTAACCCGCGCTCTGGACCTCCGCCTCAACAATCCCCAACCTCGTCGCCAGGCCCGTCGCGCACCCCATGTTTCCACACGTTACCGTTACCGCTATAGCTTCGCTATATATTCTTCGCTCAACCCCTCGCTCATTGTATTTCTTGCCTCGATAGTGCAATCCTCGCTCGCTCACTCAATTGCACTCGTAACACTTGGTTATCAGAGCCTACAATCTTCTCTCGGACCGCACCCACACCTTCGCTTCCCCACCATCTCAATTTTTTTCGGGGGGGGGGTAGACGTCTCTCTGCGACCAAGCATCGCCGCTCGTAGTGCTCTCTCGTAAGCAAGCACGGCCACGACAGAGGCTCTCGCTGAGCTTGCCCGACACCCCCGCCATGGCTGAAATTTCTCTCGTGACAATGACGCAAGCGCAGCTCGACCATCTCGTACGCCAACTCGAAGATTCGGCCCTCGATATCGCTACGCTCACGGCGGAACGCGACTCCGCTCGCCAGCAATCGACAGTGAATGTGCCAGCACCAACAAATGCACCTGCACAATCAGAGGAGCCGATCGTCATCTCATCGGGCACACCAACACAGAACGACAGCGTGGGACAACGCTCAGGCGTAGCCAGTGAAGGCGCCGCTCACTCAATGCCTTGCATGGAGAAACAGGGCCGCACCAAGCCCGCGGGAGCCTCGCGAAGCCCGTCGGCATGTGGAATTTGCAGAGACGAGTGGCGAGTACGCCATCACGGCACCAATGCCACTCAAGCCGCAGCGTCCGCCCTGTTTCGACCCGAGCAACGTGGAGGTCCGACGGTTCAATCGTGGGTCTTCACGATGAACGTCTTTTTCGACGCGAATTACGTCAAGTCAGACGCAGCGAAGATTCGCTATGCTGTTTCGCTGCTGAGGGGCTCCGCCATGGACTGGTGGCGAGTCATCGTGATGTCGCCACGCGCCTACGAGCCACCGTCGCAAAAGGAAGGGCCCACGGGTCCAGCCTTCACCTAGAGTTCATTCTGCGAGACAGCCCAGTACAGCACGTGGGATGCGTGGTGCGCAGAGCTTCGGGCGCGTTTCGAGCCGATTGCGGCTTCGATTTCGGCGCGTCAGAAGCTGCGTACTTGGCGGCAGCTCGGATCGGTTCAAGACTACACGAGTGGATTTCTCGCATTATGCGAGCAAGTCGGCTACATGCACGAAGCGGTGTGGGTGGACCGTTACGTCGGAGGGCTGAAGCCGGACATCTCGCACGAAATCATGCTACGCGGGCTCTCGAATTTTAACGAGATCCTCGCGCTCGCCGAGAAAATCGACATTCTGCGACGGCTGAGACCGGGGTCCTACTACGGACAACGTCCTTGGGGACCAATCGAGCACGCCACTGTACACGCCGTTGCAACGAATGCAGCTGCCGCACCGTTTAAGGGGCGCTGCTTTGCTTGCAATAGGCCGGGCCATCGCAAAAGTGAATGCCCAGAGGAGCTAAGGCGCCGCGGAACAGAGCAAGAGCGAGAGTCTCAGAGGCCGGGAAACGCCAGCAGTCAGTAGAAGTTGGGCCAACTACTGACGAAACTGCCTGCTCGCCCAACCTCACTGACCCTCACCGAGTCACAGTACCGATTCACGCTATTGATCGGGCTCGGATGAATAAGGAGGGTACAACGACGGATTGCCCAGTACTGATCCACGGAAAAAATACAGGGAGCAGCAGTGAAGATTTTTATAGACGGAGGCGCAAGTCATGGCTTAGTTAATACCACGACTGCGAGAAAACTGCAACTGGCACTTAGTCGGTGTTTACCGGAGATCGATGCACGCTTAGTCGACGGAACGCCGCCGGCCATACGGGAAAAAAGTGAAGAGAGTAAAAGTCCGCTGCGGGGGGGACTTCGGGTTTACACATGAAATGCTCGCGATGACATTGGATGGGCACGACATTTTACTAGGGACGTGATTGGCTGCGACGATACAACCCACGAATCGACTGGACGACGGGTAGCTGCACTGTGCGAAGTAGCGGTAACTGGGTCGAACTACCTCGCTAGCAGTCGCCTGAGTCTTCAACGGTCCACGGCAACGCCATCACGATGAAACGGGCTGTCGCCGCTGGAGCTGACGTGTACGCGGTGGATATCGCAGTGGTGAAAGAAGCAAAGCAGCCAAGCGATTTCCAGAAACTACTGGCGGCAGTACCACCCGAGCTATAGGAACTGTTGAAACTGTACCCTGGGATTTCTCCCGACGACTTACCGGAGGGACTGCCACCTCAATGGGCACACGATCACCGAATATAATTAGAACCCGGGGCACAGCCAACCGTACAGCGACAGTTCAGACTGACATAGCTCGAACTCGACGAACTGAGGAAGCAACTAGATTACCTGTTAGAGAAGAATTTCATCCGACCGAGTTCGTCGCCGTTCGCCGCACCAATCCTCTTCACACTAAAAAAGGACGGAGGGTTTCGTATGTGCATCGATTACAGGGCACTGAACAGGGTTACAGTAAAGTCGCGATACACAATTCCCCACATCGACGAACTGATAGATCAACTGCAAACAGCACGGGTCTTTTCGAAAATCGATTTACGGGGATGTTACCATCAGATTCGGGTTGAACCATCGGACTGTGCCAAGACAGCATTTAGGACTAGGTACGGGACATTCGAGTACACGGTGATGCCTTTCGGGCTGACCAACGCACCGGCAACATTCCAGATGACCATGAACGAGGCATTTAGGCCACTTTTAGATAAATGCGTGATCATTTACCTCGACGACATCCTCGTCTACAGCCGTGATAAGCAGCAGCACTTAGCCAATTTAGAAGCAGTACTTACAGTTTTAGACAAGCACATACTACTGACCAAGGGTTCCAAGTGCGAGTTCTTCCAGGACAAGTTAGAATTTTTGGGACACGTTATTTCGGAGGCTGGAGTTGAAATCGACCCAAAGAAGCTGGACACGGTAAAAGCGTGGCACCCCCGACGAACATGACGGAGTTGCAGAGTTTTTTAGGGTTCGTTAATTATGTACGTCGGTTCGTCCCCGACATGGCACGCTTAACTGCCCCGCTGACGGACTTACTACGGAAGGGGGTCACTTTTACGTAGGGGGGGAAAGAGCATGCTGCCTTCTCTGCCTTGAAAAATGTTCTCTGTTCACCGCCCGTCCTACGCATCGACGACCCACACCGCCCATTTGAAGTGGTTACCGATGCAAGCGACATCGCCATTGGAGCCGTACTGCTACAGGATTTTGGCAACGGTTTACAACCCATCGCATGCGAGTCACGAAAACTGCATCCACCCGAGAAAAATTACCCGATACACGATTGCGAAATGCTTGCGATCGTGCATGCGTTCAAAGTGTGGCGCTGTTACTTGACCGGCGCAGACGTGACAGTACGGACATACCATAAATCACTACAGTACCTTCGCACACAGCCCCACCTCAACCCACGACACATTCGCTGGCTTGACTACCTCGAGTCAAATTTTCACTACACGGTCACCTACAAATAGGGGCATCAAACATCGCCGACGCACTAACCCACCCCACAGCCCAAATCCACGCTTTACTACTCGCCCAGACCAGCCCACTACTGACACGACTATTTACCCACGGCTATCAGACCGACCCATTCTTCACAGGAGGAAATTCGCAGCAGTTCGCAGCAGCAAAAGGAGTCTATTACGTAAGCCGGCACCGATCGAATCTGGGTACCGGGTTACACGCTACTACGGGAATTATTGCTACAAGAGGCACACGACGCAGTCACCTCAGGCCATTTCGGAGTAGAAAAAACACAGCAGCAGCTGCAGCGGTATTATTGCTGGCCCGGAATGCTGACCGACGTGTAGCGACACGTGGCACCATGCCCCACCTGCCAACTCATGAAATCATCACGGAAGCGGCCGGCAGGACAGTTGCAGCCGATACCACCCCCAGAGCGTGCTTGGCAGCAGGTGACGATGGACTTCGTCACGGGGTTACCGGCCGGAGCAAGTGGGAACGACACGATCCTGGTCGTCGTCGATCGGCTGACGAAAATGGCACATTTCGCAGCCTGCCAAAAATCAATCACAGCCGAAGAAA